TCTTCCTTCTCTTATTTCTAGCTAGGGGCTGGAGGCAGGAATGTGGCCTCCAAGGACCTTGCCCTGGACTGTGGGGGACACAGGGTTCCCTTTATGGGAAGCTCCGCTGTTTAATTTCTGGTCTGGTCACAACCAGAGCAGACCTGTGAAGCTGACTGGAGAGCCCAGCACAGGTGGGGGATGAGAGGCAGACTTCCCAGAGGGGATGCCAGTGCAGAACTCCCACAGGGAACGGTGTCGCAAGGTCGCATGGCTCAGCCGATTTCTAGAAAATTTGTTCTAGGGCAGCCAAGCCCTCGTTTCTCCTGCGCTCTGTGTTTCTTTCAAAGAATACACCTGTATATGGCCCACCTTTGGCCTCCAGAGTGCAATGGAACCTTTTCTAAAAATTGGCCATATAGCCCAAGTAGGATAATGCTTTCTGTTATTTGTTTGTAATATTTTACTTATTTATTTTTATTTTATGTGTATGAGTATATTGCCTGCATGCATGTAAGTGCACCCGTGTTGTGCAATGCCCATGGAGGTCAGAAGAGGCCATTGGAACTGGAGTTACTGATGGTTGTTAACCACCATGTGGGTGCTGGGAATCGAACCTGGGTCCTCTGCAAGAGTAGTCAGTGCTCTTAACCACTGGGCCATCTCTCCAGCACCTGTTTGTTTTTGAGATAGGGTCTTGCTGTGTAATCCAGGCTGGCCTCAAACTCACAACCTTCCTGCCTTAGCCTCCCAAGTGCGCTACCATGTCCAGCCCAACCTGGAACTATTAAGCAAGCACCAGCATTTAGTCCAGGACTCTTCTATAACCTATTTACTCTGAATAACTGCACTGCAGTGAGCCGGAATTTATATGCCCATTTCAAAGTCAGGAAGACTGAGACTCAAGAAGACAGACGTTCTTATACAGACAGGAAAGGTCAGACTGGAGAGCATGCAGATATGCAGAAACTACTGCTGAGTTCCTCCTGGGTTCCAGGTGCTCCCTTGGAGGAGTGATACAATCAAGGCATTCTCTCCCAAGGCATCTTCTTGTTTGTACAAAGTCATGTGACTTTTCGCATAAACATCTTTCTGCTCACCCCATGCTTGCATGCTTGAAAATTGCCCCTTAGAAGTGACCCCAACTGGATGTGGGCCATTTTGTGGGCCCTGTGATGGCAAGAGCTGCATTCCAAAGGGTCCTGTTGATATTGACTCAACCAATAAATATTTCCTGAATACCAACCAAGCTTGTGTGCTAGTCCTGTCACTAAACACGGGACAGCCCAGATATGGCTCTACCCTCAAATCACTAAGTCAGTCAGGAACAGACACAACTTAGCAGTAGTATGGTGTGTGATCAGATATGGCAGGGTAGGGGAGATAGCCTTTCAGATTCAAGGGGAGTTGGGGGTGGGGCTGAAGTGATGGGGAAGGTAAATGGGAACTCGCAGAGGTGTGTCAGAAAGATCTAAGCAGAAGCAACAGGGCATAAAGACAGAGCTAGAGCTCAGGGAGTGAGGAGGACAGGGATTGTAGGCAGAGAGAGGGAGTACCAAATTTTCAGGTTTGCAGGGTCTAGGCATGAGACTGGCTTTTATTCTGAAGGAAGCAGGGTGCGGGACAGGCTGTTGACAGGAAGTGCTGGTGAGCAGCAGTTCTTTGCAGAGACTGCAGTTCCTCTTCACTCACCTTCCTAGCCTGTGTCTGTTTCTTGATGTCCAGTGTGCTAAGCACGACAGGGTTTCTCACAAAGTCACCCAATCACCACTCCCGTCATGGTCAGCCTGGCTGCCCCCAAGTGCCCCAGCCTGAGCCTTCGGATCTCATTTGGCTCCCTGGGACCTCTCGTTTGAGCCAGTGATTCTTAGAAAGGCCTCCATAGGCTCTCGGCACAGCACATTGACCGTTGCATCCCTGGCTGATCACAGCCCAGCACGGACCAGCTCTTCAGTCTGCAGATGACAAAGAGGAAAACTCAACATGAAACATTAGAGGGAGGGAAGCCTCCATCTGTCAGACCCCAGACCCAGGGACGTCATGAGACTCTGAGGGAGGAAGAGGTGAGTTTATGACCCTTAGAGTTGTATGTGCTCTCCTCTCCCCCAACACCCCTGAAAAGAGAACCTCAAAACTGGGAGACCCATGGGGAATCGTCCAGAAAGGATGGTGTGCGGGGAAGAATGCAGCAGGTAACAGATAGCAGAAGAGGCGGTGGTCTGAGCTCAGGACCAGCAAGGCCCAGTTCTCACTCTGCCCTGCGTGGGAAGTCCAAAGGGAAGCAAAGGGAGAGATGGCAGAGGGGGCTGTCACCCTGCAGTGTGGCCAACCCTTAGCCTTGTAAAATAGTTAAGTGCCTGGGGTCTTGAACCAGAAAGACCCATGGAGGTATTTACTTCTGATGCCTCTATTTCCTCATGGGGAAAGTGATAAACCACCTTCCAGAAATGTCTGACATGCTGAGTGAGCGATCATCCTGACCTGGTCATTGCGTGTTGTATACATGTGTTGGAATATCACCCCATGCCCATACATGATCACTATGCACCCATGAAAAAAATATATTTAAATAATAATAGAGCTGATATGTGAATATGATAAAATAACAGGATGTTAAACAGATTACTGAATTAGGTTAGGAACAGTTGAGTTAGTCTGTAATATTAAAAAAAAAAAAAGCAACACTTGGCATCAGAAAGTCTAAGATGCTTGAAAACCAGTAAAAGGTGCACGGGACTGGCAAAAGCCATGGCACCAAGAGTAACAAGAGCTAACACTCAGGTAATGGGATGGTTAATCTTAATTGTTAACTTGACTAGATTTAGAGTCACCATGGAAACACATCTCTGGGTGTGTGTGTGAGGCAGGTTTCAGAAAGGATGGGCAGACCCACCCTGAATGTGGGCAGCACCGTCCCACGGGTTGAGATCCTGGACTGAAAGAAAACAAGGAAGCTGGCTGCGTCCCTGCATTCATCTCTGCTTCCTGACTGCAGACACAGTGTGACCAGCTGCCTCATGCTGCTGCCACCATGCCTCCCCCACCAAGATGAACTGTACCCCTGAAACTGGGCCAACCTAATTCTTCCTCCCGTGAGTTGCTTTTGTCAGGTATTTTGTCCCAGTAATATAGGGAGGGATCACACTAAGGTGATGTTCTGAGTACTTTACACGGTTCACCTCAGCCTCATCAACAGCCCTAAGCAGTAGCAATGGCTGGTGCCCCCATTTTACAGAGTGAGAAACTGAGACTCAGCCAGAGTCACAGAGTCAGTGAGCAGCAGAGGCCCGAGCTCAGCCCCTAAGTGTTATGTCTTCTGGCCTTCTATCCTGGGGGAGGCATGGGCAAGAAGGAAGGATCCTGGGAGACAGGCCTGCCCTTCTTAGAACTGTGCCTAGGATGACCCCTTTTTCCCACTTAAGTTCCCAAGGTTCATTTAAGTCCCATTACTCTGACATGGCCCTTTCTTTTCTAAAACTCTTAGACTCTCGGACCTAGGGGGAAGGTTCCAGTTGTAGTGTTGGATCAAATCCTGACGAAGAACTCTACTAAATACAAACCTATTCATTGAATAAAAGATAAACTGGGCCTATTGAGCTCTGGGTACTGGAGACATATAACGAACAAGGCAGATGAAGCCTTGTGTTTGGACAGATAGTACACACCCGAGCAAATAAGTGATGTGGCATAGAGCACTATGAGCAAGTAAGACAAGAGAGGAGAGCAATTGGACTGTGAGTGGGGAGTCCCAAGTAGGTGTCACCAGGAGTGACACAGGAGTTGAACTCTGAGTCCAAACTGGGGATGGGTGCTGATGATGCAGCTGCTGTGGAGTTTCTGGAGGCTTGGGAAGCTGCCCACCAGGCAGGAGGATGGCAGGATATAATTATGAGCATACTTTTCAGAGAGATCCGTTTGAAGCCTGAACTCACTTTTCCACGAATAGAAACACTTCAGTTCTTGCAGAAAGAAGTATCATATAAGTTCCTTGTATGCATTTTTTTACTGTAGCAAAAACACTGAGTTTGATTATAGTTGTATGTGAAGGGAGATCATACTTCTGGAAGCTGAAGTGGGAACTGGATACGGTGATGATGATGATGGTGATGATGGTGGGGATAATGGTGATGGTGGTAGTGGTGATGATGATAGAATAATGATAGTGGTAGTGATAGTGATGATGGTGATGTGATGATGGTGATGTGACAGTAGTAATTGTGATAATGTTGATGATGATGATGATGGTGGTAATTGTGATAATGATGATGATGGTTATGGTGGTATTGGGATGTTGATGATGATGGTGATAATGATGGTGATGATGGTAATTGTGATAATGTTGATATTGATAGTGATGGTGATATTGATTGTGGTAATTATGATAATGTTGATTATGATGATGGTGATGAGACATCATGTATTATAAATTTACCACGTTACAGGTATTTTGCTAAATAATTATAAGCATGGTATCATTTAATTCTTGCAACATAGTGGAACTCACTATTATCCCAAGCTGACCTCAAACTTGCAGCGATCCTCTTGCCTCAGCTTCTGAGTGCTGGGATTACAGGTGTGCACCACCATGCCTGACCTTATCGTCTTTTTAAAATATATACTTTATTGAATTTTTATACAGTATATCTTGATCATATTTAGGCCCCTCTCCCTATCTGTATCCCTCCATAGCCCCCCACTAGATTTCATGCCTTATCTGTTATGGCCTTGTCTTTTTAAACTCAGTGCATTAGTGACTTCTCTTGTCGCGGATGGAAGCAACTTCAGGGAGGAAAGAGTTATCTTAGCTTACAGTTCAGAGAGGTTTCATCCATCATGATAGGGGAGGCATGGTGGTGAGAACATGCAGGAGTGGCTTGTTCATGTGGCACAAACCGAGAAGAAGCAGAAAAGGCAGCCCACCCTTCTATCCACCCATCCGTCCACTCATCCATCCATCCACCCACCCACCTATCATCCATCTGTCTACCAAGTCACCCATCCATCTTCTCTCTGTCTTTCAGGTTAAAGTGCCACAACAAATGCACCAAAGAAGCCCCACCCTGTCACCTCCTGATCATCCATCGAGGAGGTAAGTATTTAACACTCGCTATCCTGTGCTGTCATCAGGAGCTCTTGCCCCTGAGATGGTCTCCCACCCAGCATGATTCTAGATACTCCAATACACAGATACTTTCCCACCTGGTTTCTTTTCTTCTGGTACCTCTTCCCTTCTGCTGTGCTTCTTCCCTGTTCCACGTCTTCCCACCCCAGTCCTTGATTTTACACTGATCACTCCGATATTTTAGTGCTCCCCTACCCTTGTCCTTCCTTTTGTTGGCTCTGCTCCTAATTTCCCACTCTGTTCTTTTCCCCTAATACCATTTGCTTTTCCTTCCCACTTGAAAAGAGTGTTGGCTGGGGTTTCCATTGTATAATCTCAGCTCACTCAGTTGGCCTTGCGGAAGTGGCCATGGGGATGGATCTGGCTCAGGACAGTTGGTTGGGCCATTTCTGTCCCATCCTCTGGGACCCTGGGAAAGTCTAGGCCAAACTGAGAAGACTAGAAAGTTATAACCACCCTTTCATGGTTCTGAAATAAGACCTAAATGGCTGGGAGGAAAAGCTTTTCCTGTGGACCAAGGACTTAGTAGGGGACAACTCTTTTAAACGTCTCATAGTCAAGCTTGCAAAATAATTACCTCGATTCTTGCCCTATGGAATGGTTGCTTCCAGACCCCATTGTCCAGATTGCATTCATCCCTGGAGTGCTCTCTTGGTCTGTGCTGTTGGATAAGTAGCTGTTAGCCACATCTGACTATTTAAATCAAGATTAATGAAAATGAAATAAAAGCACAACTTTAATTATTCAGTCTTACCAACTGTGCTTCAAGGGCTTAGAAGCCACATGTGGCTGTGACATTGGATGGCTCAGAGACAGGGTACTTCCATCACTGCAGAGGACTCTCCTGATGGCTTCCTTGCTCTTAGGTCACAAGTCTGCTCCTTTAAGATGCTGGTCACTCTAAGCAGCCAGATCTCACAGCCTGAAGAAATCAGGCCAGGCACCCTGCAGTTCTCTTTTTGGGACAAAGAGTTAATAAGCCATCTGTGTTTTAGGTTTTACAGTCTCTAGTTTGTGGTCCTACCCAGTACCTGGCTCCTCCCTGTAGATAGGCTATCTCAGACTAAATCACGTGGTATAAAATTTGGCTTGAAAGGATATAAAAATCAGATATTTTCCTTAGTTTGGGATTTCTCTGAAGGGTCTGTCTGTGATAACTACCTGTCTCTCTTTTACTTTGTTATCCCTATTCTTAGTTTTTTATCTTGTAGATGTATTTATTTTTATGTATATGAGTGTTTGCCTTCATGTGTGTATGTGCCCCACTTGTATGCAGTACCTGTAGAGGCCAGAAGATGGCATCAGATCCCCTAGAACTTATGGGAATTGCACGTGGTTGTTAGCTGCCATGTGGGTGCTAGAAACCAAACCCAGGTCCTCTATAAGAATAGCAAGTGCTCTTAACTGCTAAATCATCTCTCTGGCCCCTTAACTATCTCTCTAATGAAGAATGAAGTCCCCAAGATTCTCTCTCTCTCTCTCTCTCTCTCTCTCTCTCTCTCTCTCTCTCTCTCTTTTTTGACAGGGTCTCCTATAGCCCCAGCCTGCCTGGAACTCACTATATAGACCAGGCTGACCTTGATCTCATAGAGATCCACCTGCCTCTGCCTCCCAAGTGCTGGGATTAAAGGCATGCACCACCATGCCTGGCATTCCTACAGGTTTTATAAGGAAGCCTCTCTTTTTTAAGGCCCCATTGATGTTGACTTTGATATAATATACTATCCCTTCATAAGGCTTTCCTACCACGAGGCCCCATCATGGCTCCTGCTGTTGGAGACCCTCTGTCCTAATTCATGGAGAATAATTTCCTGTCAGCCCCTTTCCCAAACCAACCTACCTGCACTCTTTTCTCTAGCTAATCAAAGTATGGTCCACAGAGCATTTGTAAAACACACGTTTTTCTAGCCATGCCCCAGAATGACTGAATCAGAATCTGACTTTTTAAATAGGGTGTGGATGGAATTCCCACCCTTTGAAGCTGGGAAGTACCACTCATGACCAGATTTATGCAAACTCAGATGCTGACTAGGGCCAAGAAAGTACCCTAATGAGAGAAGCTGGCCAGACAGGGCTGGAGCAGACTGGAAAGCCAGGGAGGTACTGTCCAGAGAAGGTAGGCACTCTAGCGGCAGAGCAGCAGGTGTCACTTGCATTTGTGATATTCCAAACAAAAGTCCATGTGGATAGTTTTAAGTGCCTTAGACTTTCTGTCAAGTGTTAGTGACTAATTGAAATACTTGAACCTTTCTGGCCACCTCCCCACCAGCCCCCTTATCTCTCGGCTGAATGGAGCCTCAGATCCACCAGAGAGACTGGCTTGCCCACAGCCAGTCCTCCTTTTCCATCCTCCCTCCTCTCCTGGTGTTGGCTAGTTTAGATTTGGGTATATACCTGATCTGAGGATGAACCTAAGAGGACCTTCAGGAAAGGGGCAAGTTGTCCCTAAAGCTGTCGAAGAACCAGAAGGGGCAGCTGGTTTTTGAAAATTTCTGTACCCTTGGTTCCTATGAAGAATGGACAGGAAGAGTGCTCAGCTCTCTTCCCTCATGCCCCTTCCCTCCCCACGTCCTTAATTAAGAACCATCTGTTCTAGAGTAACGAGATACACTCCACAAAGCTATTTTGAAACCTGAGTTCTCTTAGCTCCTGAGCCCCTGCCTGAGGTCAGCTTCACTGGGGAATTCGCCTCCCACTGTATCCTGCTCCGCCGTGGCTGCTGCGGAGTCTAACTTCCCAGAGGAGGCGAGACCCAGAAGGTGAACCCTCTTCAGAGGCTGATATTTGGAGACGGTCTCCCCTCCTTTCCCTGCCCACCCACCTTTAAGGTTATGCTCCCTATGCTCCAAAAGGCTGGTACCTGACAAGGAAAGCAAACGGAACTTTCTAGAAGTTCACCGGCTTCTTGCCTTTTTTTTTTCCAGCCCCTTTGGTGGGAAGTTGAAAATAGAGTCCGTTTCCATGGTAATGGCAGCTCAGGCTAAGCAGAGAAATTAAATCCCTGGGTCAATGCAAAGCTTTAACTTCTCAGCACACCCCCCACATAAAAACACAACTAACAAGGAAAGATCCCACCACGCTTCACATTTGACCTTGAGCTTCTCACTACTGTGGCTCACTGTGTTCCCTGTGAGTAATAGAAACAACTCAGGGGAAGGGCTTGAGGATGAGGCTCTCCTTCCTCGGCAGGAAGCATTTATTTAGTACCACCTGTGTGCCAAAGCTTCCTGAGTGGCTGGCCTAAGGCATGGTACCCAAGGGGATGCTACAGGTGTGAGCCATTCTACAGGGAACCCTGGGTATTTAGGACAAACGTGCTCCAAGGTGTGGCAGTCATCTTAGTCCCAATAAACCCTCTAAGTAACAAAAGACGTCTTAACACAAGGTTAGAAGGACAGGGATGGGTGCCCATCATGAGCTTGTCCACGGACTGTAGGCCTTGAGGAATCAGGGACCCCCTGCTTGGCAAATAAAGTTCAGGGCTACAGCAAATGGTATCGTGAAACTGCAACAGAAAGGGAAAATAAACCAGATAGCTTCTTTTTATTGTAAAAACACAGGTAATGAAATAGATTTACTTTGAAAAAAAAAAAAAAAAGAAATATCTGAAACAAGAAGAGGGTATGTTAAACCGAAACAGGAAAGGGAAAAAAACCCAGATACGTCTTTTTATTGGAAAAACCACGGTAAAGAAAATAGTTTAATTTTAAAAAAAAAAAAAAGAAATATCTGAAACAAATCATGTGTAGGGGCTGAGGAGATGGCTCAGTTGGTATGTTAGTGCCCACTGTGCAATCATGTGGGCCTGGGTTCAAATCCCAAGAATCCAAGTGAAAAAGCCAGGGTAGCACTGTCTTGTGACCCCAGTACTAGGGAGGGGCCGAGACAGGCTGAGATCCCTCATTGGCCAGCCAGCCAGCCCAGCCCAGTGTATGAGCTTCCGGTTCAGTAACAGACCCTGACTTTAAAAAAAAAAAAAGGTGGAGAGCAGTTGAGGAAAGACCCAATGTGGACCTCAGGCCTTCGCGCATAGGCACACCCACATCCTCATGCACACGTGTGCACACACACATCATGTGTAGACAATACATGAAGCATAGAAGCCAAAGTGCATACCCAGATCTTGTCATGGTGATGCTTAACTGTTACTTTCAGTAGGTTTTGGGCAGGTCTTCAAGGTGAGGTCTGAGTTGGGCTTTCTTGACATGATCAAAGCCAAAATGATACTTAAACTCTCTCATTGCTGTTTTTACCCCTACGGACCCAGCAAGGTTGGTGCGGACGGAGTCAGTCCCCTGTGACATCAACAACCCTGTCCGGAAGCCAGCCCGGTATTCGGATCTGCACATCAGCCAGACACTCCCCAAAACCAACAAAATCAACAAGGTGAGGCAAGGCTCCTGCACCATGGGGCAGGCTGCGCTGAGTCACGGCCAGGCAGTGGGAGGGAGGGAAGAGATGCACCTGTCAGAACAAGTCTAGTTTAGAGAGAGACTCAGGAAAGTGAGGATGAATGAGTGTGTGTGAGGAGGGACCCAACACAGGATGGGAGGAGATACCAAGAGTTTCCATAGTGATCCAGACCTGGCCTGCCCTGTGCTGGGAGATGCCGGGATCAACTATACAGATGGTAGTGGGCTTTCTGAACATCTGTTGAACTAAGGGATGGGATCTACATCTCAGCTTCTGATGGGACTGGATGGATGGATGGATGGATGGATAGATGGATGGATGGATGGATGGATATCTTTGGGGGCCCTGAGCTCTGTGCAAAAGCCAGTTTAGTATCTTTCCTCAAATGGATGGTCAAGAGGCCGCCTTCTATACACCTTTCTTTCCAGTTCATCATTCTGTGCTGCCTTTGGTCTATGGATGGAGCTGTGCCAAAATTATCCCAGGGACAGTTCCAGCTCCACAGTAGAGGCCAAGTTTGCATGTGCCAACAGATGGTTTCCCATGCCCCACAAAGACTCTGTGTTGTGTTGATGGATAAAGTGTAGAATCAACCCAGAGATACGGGAGTTCACAGATCTGTGTGCAGGTACCACATGAGCATCGTGGCCACAGCCAACCTCCCCTTGGCAAAGTGCTTCCCTTGTTTCCCCACATAGGCTAGAGAAAGATGACCCCTCACCAGTCCACTCTCCACACAACAGTTAGAGAAAATATTAAAGAGTCTCAGTGGATGGCTGTCATTCTCCCTAAAACCCACCTAATGTTTTTCTGTTGATTTCTGGAAAGAAAATTTGTTTTCTTTTTTTTTTTTCAAGTGCGTATGTGCATGTTTTTGCACGTGTGGGAGCAAACATGTAGGTGGGTGCATGTGGAGCCTGAGGTTCATGTTGGAAATCCTCAATCACTCTTGCACCTTGTTCATTGAGGCAGGGTGTCTTAATTAAACCCAGAGCTTGGTAATATGGTTGGTCTGGTCTTGCTACCCAGCTTGCTTTGTGAATCTCCTGTCCCCGAATTCCAAGGCTGGAATCATAGTCAGGCTGCTGGGACCGTCTGATGTTCTCATGGGTTCTGTGGATTTAATCTCTGGTCTTTAAGCACTTTAATCACTGGGCCTTCTCCCTAACCCAGATTTCTTTTTCAAGACAGGGTCATGCTATATAGCTCAGGCTGATAATAAACTAGTGATATTCTTGCCTCGATCTCTGGAGTTCTGGGATTATAGGAGTGTCCCACCACATCTACTCAAATCCAATTCTTTAGGGCAGCTCAAGGCTGTAGGTCACTTGGTCCCACCCTGTTTCTGACCTCCCAGGTTTCTCTCCAAAGCCCCTGTGTACTTTGTCTTTTGTCTTAGCTATCAGCTTTGTCTTAGCTTTATCTTTTGACTTTGCTACTAAGTCTTGGAGCCAGACACTACTGGGCTCCTGTGACATCATCCCAACAGTTGAGAGAGTTGAACTCTGGAGTCAGGGCAACCAGGCATCCAGCCAACCTTCGCTTCCTCTACTTGGTGGTTGCAAAACTGTAGGCAAACAGCTTAATCCCTCTGGGCCTCAGTTTTCCTCCATCTAAAATGGGCATGTTCTATTACTATACAACAAACCCCCAAATGAACGGTATATAATAACCATCCTTTCCTTATGCTCACTGTCTACAGGCTAGGGGCTAGGAACTGGGAGAGTGCCATGAAGCATGGTTTTGACTCCTCCAAGATGTCCAGGGCCTCCACTGGGAAAACTCCCATAGCTGGTGACTGGAGGAATCTCAAGCAGGCCAAGCCTAGCCTACTGTCTGCTCTTGTGTGATTCGGGCACTCTTGGATCTCAGCCACACCCCGGTTGTCTGTGGCCACTTTTGTGCTGTAATAGGTAACAATAGCCAAGCAGACCAATCACAAGAGGGATTACATTGGCTTCAAAGCCTAAAATATTTGCCATTGACCATTTTACAGACAAAGCTTGATGACCCCCAATTAATCAACACTGGGTTCAGAAAGCTGCTTCAGAGGTAGAATTAAATAATCAACATTTGGCTTCTTCTCTCAGAAATCTGGTACCTGGGCTTGGAGGAGTCAAGGTCTTGGCTTGGCAGAGAGGTCAGCAAGAACCTGTCTATGGCCTTGGCTTGTAGCTTGGACTTCCTCCCAATATGACTGCTTCAGGGTACCTTGACTTCTTACATGGTATCAGGCTCAGAGAACAACTGAATTAGCAACCAACGTGGAACCTCAGCAGTATCATTTCCACAGTGCTTTACGAAGGAGAGCAGTCATGAGTCACAGTGTTTGAGGGTACAAGGTCTAGACTCCAGTTTTCGATTGGAAGAGACCAAGAGTCTAAGAGACCAGGAGTCTAAGGATTTGGGTCTCTGTTTTAAAATGCTCCAGGTGAATGGTAAGAACATTGAGTTCAGAAAGCTGTTGCAGAGGTAGAATTAATAATCAACATTTGAAAATGCTTAGTGTTCTTCCTGGCACAAGTGTCAGCTTTGATCTCAGGGCTTCCAATCAAACATCAAGCCAGGTCACCTTTGCCTTGGTTGTTTTCAAAAGTCTCAGGACTGGCCTCAGTGGAAGAACACTAGACTAGCATGTGTGAAGTTCTGGGTTCCATCTCCAGCATTGCAGATGGCGGGGTGGGGGAGGCAGAATGGGGAAAAGAAGGAAAGGGAGAGAAGGAAGGGAGGACAGAAGGAAAGAAATGTTTTAAAAAGCAAGATAGGAGTCTCTTAAAAGAGGATACCCACCCCTTACTGGGATGCCAAGGGGGCTTAATTGGCTAGTTCTGTGGGAAGTGACTGTGTATCCCTTAGAGCCTATCTTTTCCTCTGTGATGTCTTCAGGGACTAGGAGCTCAGAGCCACCTCAAGACCTTTCCCTCCGGCTTAACCAGCACTGGAACCTCTTGATGTCAGATGGGACAAAAACATGGGTCAGATGGATCAGCGACGGTGACATTGTTCTGCTTGTCTGCCAGCAGGGAAATTTGATAAGGGACATAAATTAGCCTCTATGCAGAAGTGACTGTGCTGTGAGGGTGGACAGGCTCTCTCATCTGCCTGGGTTATTTTTTGCCTCCTCGTCTCTCTGGCTTCGTGCAGACCCTCCTTGTCAGGTGGTGATGTGGTTAGTGAATAGATTTCTCAGCCAATTTTGTCTGAAGAGTTCCTGCTTGGTGCTCTTTGTATTTCCTCCTGTCTGGCCCAATCCATCCAGGTTCACAGAGGCCTTACTTCCCTGCCCAGTAGGGTGGGCAGGACGTGGATTTTGGAATCAGAAAGCCTGGGCTTGCAACTTGACTGGTTAACTTGTTATGTTGCTATGAACAGGCCAGTTCCAGGTCCGTCTGTCTGTCTTAGTTTTATATTCTGTAAAATGGGCAGGATATGGTATTATTGATAGGCGGTATCAATAAAATGATAGGTGGTATTACTGGGGTTGTGAGGAGGACTCTATATATGGTGTGGATAGAGGATTTAGTCTAACACTGGGTGCTTAGACATGGAGGAAAAGGAGAACGGGGTTGAGGGTGAGGATGAGGATGAGGAGGAGGAGGAGGACCAAAGGAATGGAATGAGCAGAGGATGAGGGAGAGGGAGAGGAGAAGGAAGAAGAGGGGGAGAAAGAGAAAAGGAAAGAAGGAAAATCAAGGAAGAGAAAAGAAATTAGGAGAAAGAGGAGGAGCAAAAGACGATAGAAGAATGCAGGGCGTGGTGGCGCACACCTTTAATCCCAGCACTCAGGAGGCAGAGGCAGGCAGATCTCTCTGAGATCAAGTCCAGCCTGGTTTACATAGTGGGTTCCAGGGAGACCCTATCAAAAAAATAAAGAAGATAGGAGAGGAAGAGACGGAAGAAGATGGAGGAACGGAGGAGATGGTGAGGGATGGAGAAGAGGGAAAGAGATGAAAGACAGCAGGGCAGTGAGAGAAGATGGGAGCTGCATCAGGAGCACCTGCCGGCCCCTTAGGAAACCAGTCTCCAGCCCTTATCCTTCCACATCAGGCCATCAAAGCTGCCATCTGGGGTGATGACAGAGACTGGGGCTCTTCCTTCTGTGGTCAGGATGCTGGAAGGTCCCACATGCTGGCTTGCTGTGGTTGCAAGGAGCAGAGCCCCACCTAGCCTAGCTCTGCCATGTGAGCTGTTTTAAGGATGGCTGCAGGACAAGAAGACAATGTGGATCACCCTCCCTGAGCTCAGCCTTCTAAAAGTAGACCTGGGGGATGGCCTCGAGTCAGTTGGGCTCTCTGACCCTAACCACATTGGGAATTTTTTAAAAATTAGGTATTTGTGTGTGTGTGTGTGTGTATGTGTGTATGTGTGTGTGTGTGTGTGTGCGCGCGCCTGTGTGTCTGTGTGTGGGTATGTGCATGTTAGTGCAGGTGCCTGAGGATGCCAGAAGGGGGTGTCAGATCCCCTGGAGCTCGAGTTACAGGAAGTTGTGAGCCATCTTATGTGGGTGCTGGGAACTGAACTCTGGTCTTCTAGAAGAGCAGTGAGCATTCTTCACCCATGAGCCATCTTTCTAACCCTATAATAATAACCCATGGATTATTTTTGTGGTCCATGTCGTGACCTAGCCCAGATGGTCTTTGTGCTTCCATTCTGTCCTTTGCTGTTGGTGGCTCCATGGTTCTCCAGCCTCACCTTCCCTGTGTTCTAGGCCTACAGATTTCCTCACCCTCTGACCTTCTGCTGTTTGTTTCCTGGTGTGCTGTGGACCTTCTGAGTCTTTCCTCCTAAGGCTTTCCCACCATTCTCACAGTTGGCTCACCTCATCAGCATCCCATTTCATGACAATTCCATGACATCCCATTCCATGGACCAGTGGCCACTATGGTCCAGCATGGGGAGTGGGCTGTGGCGGTCACAGGATAGATCCATCTGTTTATTTAGAATGGCCCACTCCGCAAAGCTGTTAGGTTGGA